ACCCAAATCTCCCTGATGGCGAAATGTTCTAGTTGAGTTGCAATAAAACCCTGAGCTGTGAGGTGAAAATCACGAGAGCCTCTGGAGACGTCTGTCTTTTAGGCTTATTTTAGCCATTCTTCCAAAAAGTCCCAATTAACCACTTGTTTTGTCTCATAGTACGAGTGTGTCACTGGTGGAGTTTTACTGTGAAGACTCTGAGGTAGGGCGCTAAGTGGAGCGCACGCTGTCGTTTGGGACTTGTCCTGCCGCTCTACCTGTCCGGGTACCTCTCGTTCAACCTCACAAACATGCGCACACCGTGAGAGATTTGAGCTAGATTATTTCATCACATCTAGCAATGTTTGTCATTTGACTTTATTCCTCGTAGCGTCTTACCACTACTCTCGCGCCCTCACGGTATCTTTAACCTACCTATCTATAACATCTCCAGTGCAATTACCACACACAAGATTCCCAAGAAAAGACGCTCACATATTATGGAAATCTTCGGAAGGTTGATGCTGAGTTTTTGGCAATGAAATGTTTCAAATGTGCGATTTGATTTTATAACACTAACAAAAACTACAAAAGGCTTTAAAACAAGCGTGAGAGAATGTCTTGGAAAAACATCTCTAATGTATACGACTTCCTCTTTCTTTAAAGACTTTCATGGTCTCCAAGTGGCTTCCAGGGGAAACCAAGGCCCTTCCATGTTTACTGTGAGCTGCATCGATAACACATAAAAACGATATCTTCCTCAGACAAAGTTGTCCCATCCTTAAAATGATCAATTATACACAATTAGAAGTCCACAAAAATACATATATGACCCATTTTAATGCTAGAACAGCAGCCATTATACAGTCCCCTTCTAAACTGTAGGAACGGCACAATTCAACCGGCCAATTCATTTGTTTTTGCTACACTCCAAAGACATTTGGGTTTGAGATCAAAAGATGGATATGAGACGAGAGTTTAGGATTTAAGCTTTGATTTCCTTGTATTTACATCTAGATGTGTTTAAACCAAAAAAAAAAAAACCCTTTTGTGTCAGAACAAATTTTTAAGCGAGCAAAAGTATAGCAACAGGTAAGTCTTTGAAGTAAATTAAATAACACTTAATATTTGGTTTCTTATCCCTTGTTTGTAGTAACTGCATCAAGCCTGCAACTCACATCAACAAATTGTTGGTTTCTTCTATGTGTTGCTTTTCCAGGTTTTTACTGCTTTCAGTTGTTGTTTGTTTCGGGGGCGTTCTCCTTTCAGTCTCCTCTTCAGGCGGTGAAATGCCTACTCAATTGGGTTAAGGTCTGGTGATTGACATGGCCAGTCTAAAACCTTCCACTTTTCCCCCTGATAAACATATGCCCAATGTTTGTTTGTGCAGTACCTCTGATTGATTTTCCCTCTTTTCTCAGCTTCTAAAAGGCTTGCCTTTCTCCCCTAGACAGCTCTCTGATCTTCATGTTGGCTTATCCTTTTTAACAACAAATTCAGTCTTCACAGGTTAAAACGAAGGTAAAAAACCAAGAGTAGATGTTCAAAACTATTTATTGTTTAAACAAATCAATCTAACAGGACACATGTGGGTAACAAGAAACACCGGTCAGTCACGTTCCAGTATTTTTGCTTGCTTACAAATTGGGTGGTCTGATACAAAATGTGTTCTATGTCGTTCAGCACGTCTACATATAAATACCAAGGATAAAAAAATGAAATACTAAACTCTCTTCTCATGTTCACCTTTTGATCTCAAACCAAAACGTCTTCAGTCTACAGAAAGAAAGAAAAAATTATAATAATTGACCTTGCTGTTCCAATAGTTTAGGAGGGGACTGTACTTGTATTATAACTGAGGTTTGAGTAAAAGGGGTTTTCCTCCTTAGGGAAGAAATATGACTATATTCCCACCCAATATATTTAATGTTAATGTGTATAGTGTTCTTTTATAAATAATAGATAAAACATGCAGGAGTGTGCTGTTATATGGAAATAATGAACGTCAGGATGGTAACAGTTCTGCATCACAACAGCCCATGTCTGATTATTTTCCTATAACAGAAATCATAACCACGACTGTTTTCCAGGTCGAAGAAAAGACAGGTCATACGTGTTAACTGTTTTATAGTTAAATTAAACACGTTCCTCATATCACGTACATTATAGTAGTTAGAAACAGTCATTCGCTCTCTCTCTCTCTCTCTCTCTCTCTCTCTCACTCTCTGTGTCTCTCTCTCTCTGTCTCTCTCTCTCTCTCTCTCTCTCTCTCATTAAGTTAATAGGACACAAAAAAAGCCGTTTGTCATGTTACCAAGAAACCACAACGTGCTCCTTTCTGAAGACCCGACATAAAACTTAATGACAACTTTTATAACCTCAGACTGTTAAAAATCTCTCACACTGGAGACTCCTTCATTCTTCACATGGTAAATTAATGTCTAACAGAAAACTTTGCCATATTTACAATTGTGCGTTTAAAAAAATCCTTTTATGTAGAGTGTATTATATAACTTACAAATCCCTGTGTACGTTGTTACTGAAGAAACAATAACATTTTCGATAGTAGAACAAGCGTGTTACTATACATTTTGCACTCAGCTCTACTGTCAGAGGTACCGCAAATATTGTTTTAGATTCCTTTGGAGTATTCCTGTAATCTTTCATAATCTTCATATATGCTCTTATACACTGATGTCCACAGATAAAGCCTTGAGGGCATGGAAATGCATCATGTGCAGTGTAACTCACACACCTATATAGCTTTATTGTACTGTATATGATATGACTGTTTCACATACAGTAGATTATGGAATGTACACACACACACCCACCCCCAGAGCCCCTTCACTGATCCTGTCCCTGGCTCTTGTACTCAGGACACCCTGCAGTGACAGCCTTTTCCTTGTATGGGGAGAACGATGCAGAGTTCTCAGAGGGCGAGAGAAAGGCATAGGAGGGGCAGAAAGAAAATACACACTCTCTCAGGCCAGACGAATCATAAAACAAACGTTAGATTTGTTCTGGCAACTGTCATACGTGCGGTACCGCGGGTCAGCATTTCTGTCCGAGCAGTCATTCGCCCTAAACCCCACGAATACACAGTTATCACTTTTTTAGGTCATGTATTTATTTATTTTTTTGCCCAACGTCCTAGCATCTCTCAGTCTTGGAGGCTTTTTAGTCCTTGTATTGGTTGCCATGTTGTTTATATAGCTTGCATACCCACGAAAAAAAAAAAAAAAAAAACCAAAATTCGCATCCTGAACCAGATCAGCACGGTCTACCATTTCGGCTTCACGCCGGGGATACGCAAGTTGTTTCGCTTTTGCGTGAAAGGTGTTTGTTTATTTTTCAGGGAGGAAATGGAAAAAGCAGGATCGCTGCATTTCTCATAAAGCATGTGGGAAAGTGAGGGGGGCGGGGAGAATCGGCTGTGAGAATCTCATCTCCATGGAGCTGCGACCGGTCAAAGGGCAGCCTAATATGGAGCTGCACTCAGGGTATATATTAAGTTCTGTGTTTATCTGGCTAGGAAACAGAAACAGATTGCCACCCGGTGTCCATACGACTGTCTAACTCCTCACAAACTAACACACATGAGCGACATCCGTAGGGTAAACTTCATATTCTGCACATACTACACAAACACACTTTTAGACTTGTGATCATAACTATTTGGAGTCTTTGGAATCTTTAAGCCACACACACACACACAGCCTCCAGTCCTATTTCCAGAGAAAAGGGTAATGTAATCATCTTTGCTGGCTCAGTTTTGGTTCACGCCCAATCCGCAGTCTCCTCATTAGGGGATACACGTGCTTCACTTGCACTCCCACATTAACATTTCATGCTGTGTGGGGGAGCTGGAGCTGGAGCAGGCCTGTGTGCTGCTGCGATCGTTTCGAAAGAGAGAAGGAGTGATGGATGGAGTGTAAGAGAGCAGGAGGTATGGGACAAAGGCAAGGCCTTCCTTTTCTGTTGGGAGGTGGGAGGGATGAGGAGCTAAGAGGAAGAGTGATAATATGAGCACTGAGGGACCACAGTAGTGCTCCTTCAGCACACTGCATACACACTGAATCATTGTAGGTTCTTTCTTTCTTTCTTAATTTATTTCCTAATTTATTTCTTGATTTCTTTCATTTCTTTCTTTTGTTCTTGTTTTCTTTCTTAACTTGCATTCTTACTTTCTTTCTTAATTTCGTTCTTGCTTTTTTATTTCCTTTTTCCCTTAAGTTCTTTCTTTCTTGTTTTCTTTCTTTCATCTCTCGCGTTCTTGCTTTCTTTTCTGTCTTTCTTAATTTCTTTCTTGCTTGCTTTTAGACTATACTTTATTCTTTCTTTCTTTTTATTTTGTTTTTCTTGCTTAATTCATACCCACTTGTTTTGTTTGCCTTACACATTTTTTGTTCTATAGATGAAGGCAAAAGGATTATTCTTTCTTTCTTTCTTTCTTTTCTTGCCTATTTGATACCCACTGGTTACCAATAATTTTTTTCGTTTAACACATTTTTTTTTTGTTCTATTGATGAAGGCAAATTTATTCTTTCTAGCTTGCCATTGCTAATTCTCAGCAAGTAGTGAGACAATGATATATATTCATTTTTACACATTTTTGTTCCGTGAAGCCAAAATAATCCTGCATTTTTGCCCACTTTCTTAATTCATTCTGACTAATTACCAAATATATATTTTTTGTTTTAGTTTTACACATTAGTTCTATAGATGAAAGCTAATTTTATGTTCTTTGTTTGTTTCCTTTTTTTTTATTGCTTGCTTGCTTAATTTGCGCCAGCTAGTTACCAATTATTATTGTTTTGTTTTAGTTTTACACATTTTCCTCCATGCAACATTTTTCTTTTTTCTTTTTTAATTAATTAATTAATTTTTTTAGCTTGAGAGTTAGTTTTGGTTTTTTTACTTTTTTTTTTGTTTCATTATTTCTTCATTCATACCCATAGGTTACAATGATATCATAGGTTACAATGATACAATGAAATCATCATAGGTGGTGATTTTAGGGCAGTGGTAGCTTAGTGCTTAGGACGTTGGACTTGTGATCATAAGGTTGTTAGTTCAAATCGCAGCACTGCCAAGCTGCCACTGTTGGTCCTGAGCAAGGCCCTTAACCCTCAATTGCTCAGTTGTATAAATGAGATGAATGCAAGTCGCTCGGGATAAAGACATCTGCCAAATGCTGTCAAATATAACATATTTTTTTGCTGTATTTTTCCACATTTTTGTTCCATAACTGACAATGAAGACAAAGTCATTTTTTTCTTTCTTTCTTTCTTTCTTACTTTCCTTTTCTGTGTCCCTCTCTCCCTCAGTTTTCATTAGTCACTCTGCTCTCATTAATCTGTATTTAGTGATGTGTTGTTCCCTGAACTGTTTCTTATTAGATTTGACCTTCAGTGCTGGGAGAGAATCCTGGCAGTAAACGCTGCTCTGTGACATTTTACCACTGATACACTGGCACCTTTTCGAGGTGACTTGAATGAAAATTCAAATGAGCCTCAGCAGGGTTCAGGATGTGGTCAAGCCCCCAAATCCAGAGTGAAAATACCACTGATCATTAGAAATAGCTTTTGTAAGCAGTGCTTACCACTAATTGCGCATGGAACAGAACTGGTTCAGTTTCAAAATACCACCTTATTACAGGGGTGTAAAAAAGCTGTTTCATTACAGCCACTGGCTAATATTGATGCCATAACAGCTCTGACTTGTCGAGGCATGGACTCCACAAGACCTGTGAAGGTGTGTTGTCGTATCTGGCACCAAGTTGTTAGCAGCAGATCCTTTATGTCTTGTAAGTTGCGAGGTGGGGCCTCCATGAATCGGTCTTGTTTGTCCAGAACATCCCACTAATACGTGGTCGGATTGAGATCTGGGGAATTCGGAGGCCAAGTCAACACCTAGAACTCTTGGTCATGTTCCTCACACCATTTCAAACCAACCCTAACTTTCTCATGTAGTTTTTATATTAAAGCTGCATTTTTTTTCAGCCAAATGTCCCCCCAAGGTCAAAACAGTCAGATATTGCTACCTTTCTGAGGACATTTGGTCCTCATACCCACACCCATATCTACACCTTTCCAGTTAATATATGAAGATAGAACTCTACATCTGTTATATCAGTAACGCCGTTGTTTTTGGACCGTTTTCTTATGAAATCTTCCATACCTTACATCACCACACTAATGTTCTGTGTTCTCTAAAGCAGAACAGTTCTTAACACCTTCTTTACAGCTGTGTATTTATTGACGATTGTGCGCAGTATCGGTTACAATTTCATGCGTAATTGTGTGTCTCTTCAGTGCAACAGAGAAGATCCTGGCACGTGCCCGGCAGCTGGCCGACGTGAAGAAGGAAGATGGCTTCTCGGCTCTTCACGTGGCAGCTCTTAATAACCACTACGAGGTGGCCGAGGTCCTCGTCAAAGAGGTGACGCACACACACATGCACGATGAAACACAGATACATAATTCATTCTTTTGACACGTATTAAATTTGCAGGAATGCTTTTACAGACTTGGCGGAGGGGTGTTCGAGTAAAGCAGCTTCATGGAAAATTCCTTTTGCGCCTTTAGCTACATTGTCTTTAGTGAGATACGTGGTGTCAGATAAAGGCGTGTTCAAGTCAGATGTGTTTAACTTCAGACTGTTTCTCTGGCTATGTTGTGTGCTACACTATCATCTTCCCTACCTATACTTTTTAAACTAGAGTTGCAATCAAAATTATTCAACCCCCATTGCAAATCGAATTTATTGTCAAAATTTACAGACTTTCAGCTGTTTGCAACGAACAAAAGCAAACAAAAATCAAACAAAAGCAATTGAAATAGTTCAACACAACGAATGATTCAAGTGGTTTTCCCAAATTCAACTTCTCTAGTTTCAAATTTGTTCAATCCCTTGAATAGAATCCCTCACAACATCAAAAATATGCAAACGCAGGTGTTGTCTCAAGTGCTTCATTAGTTGCACCAGGTGTGTTTGAGCTGGAACACATGAAATACCAGAACTGGCTAAGTGCAGAAAATATATGAAATACTTGGATGTGGCAAAAAAAGGAAGCTATCAGCGGCTGCAACCAGATTTGTGAGAAGGCAGGTTGTGAAACACCTTCAAGTGACTGCAAAAGACCTGCAGCGAGACTTGGTGCCAACAGGTACTGAGGTTTCAGTGAGCACAGTAAGGCGTGTACTAAATGCAGAAGGTTTCCATTCCAGAACTCCAAGACGTACACCACTATTGAAAAAGGACAACAAAAGTCCGCTCAATATCATATAAATAAGCCACAGAAGTTTTGGGATTCGGTTCTGTGGAGTGATGAAACAAAACTAGAACTTTTCAGCACGATGGATCAGCGGTATGTCTGGAGGAAGAAGAATGAAGAAAGAACACTGTCCATAGTCCAGCATGGTGGTGGCTCGGTGATGCTCTGGGGTTGCTTTGCATCCTCTGGCACTGGAAACCTGTAGCGTGTGGAAGGCAAGATGGATTCATTGAAGTATCAGGAAATTCTAGGAGAAAACGTCATGCCGTCTGTGAGGAAGCCGAAGCTTGGGCATCATTGGACCTTCCAACAGGACAATGATTTCAAGCATACCTCAAATTCCACCAAGGCTTGGTTGCTGAAGAAGTCCTGGAAGATTCTACAGGGGCCATCAGTCACCTGACTTGAACCCCATAGAAAATCTCTGGTGGGTTTTGAAGAAGGAGGATTCAACACGCAAACCCAAGAATATTACTGAACTGGAGGCCATTGCTCATGAGGGCTGGGCTAAGCTTTCCTCAGGAAGGCTGCCAGAAGCTATACATCTCATTTGCAGCAGGTCTTAACAGCAAGAGGGTGCTCTACTAAGTACTAAAGATGCACGCCATGAAGGAGTTGAATCATTTTGAAACTGGAGAAATAATTTTTCCAGTCAATTTGCTTTTTCAGTTGAATTTGGGGAAACCACTTGAAGCATTTGTTGTGTTGAGGTATGTTAATTGCCTTTGTTTGATTTGTTCATTGCAGACAGCTGAAAGAATGAACCTGATTTACAACGAGGGTTGAATCATTTTGATTGCAACTGTAGGTAAACTGTTTTTAAGCCTATGGGTCCCTGTTAATGTGTGCATGTGGAACACAGTTCTGCCACTGAGAGAATGAATGGGAAGCGATTTGCTGGTGAAATTGTGGCCATCTCGGTCCTTGCAGGTCTACCTGTGCAGGAAAACATTAAAATTGTCGCCCCCCAGGTGCAGTCACAGGGTGCGCTTTGTATAAAGCTGTTCTGCCCTCTGGTGGCTGTTACGAGTGACTACTCCGCTCTTATCTAAATGGCTAAATGGCACACTTATATAGCGCTTTTATCCAAAGCGCTTTACACTGTGTCTCATTCACCCATTCACACACACAGTAGCAGAGCTGCCATGCAAGGCGCTAACTTGCCATCGGGAGCAACTTGGGGTTCAGTGTCTTGCCCAAGGACACTTCAGCACGTGGAGTCACCCAGGCTGGGGATCGAACCGCCAACCCTACGATTGGTGGACAACCCGCTCACCACCTGCACCACAGCCGCCCCATCTCTCTCTTATCTGTCATCCTGGAAATAGAAAGATACGCTCAGGACGAAGGCGAGAGTTGTTGTGTGGATTTACATAGTGTGCACTGCATTTTATTAGAAGTATAAACAGGCCATTGTTGGTGAGAAGGAAAGAAGTTTTATTCTGAAGCGTGCTCTCTGCTTTGTCCCTCATAGGGTCGCTGTGATCTCAACATCCGCAACAGCCGTGGTCAGACGCCTCTGCAGCTGGCGGTCACGCAGGGCCACATGCAGCTGGTGGAGCTCCTGGTGTTGGAGGGCGCCAACGTGAACGCTGAGGACGAGGAAGGAGACACGGCCATGCACACGTCCCTCACCCGCCAAGACCTCACCGCCGCCCTGAGCAGCACAGAGAGAGATGCCTCAACCCTCTATAGCCGAGTAAGAGCGCAAGAGAGACACGAAGAGATGATGGTGCACATGATAAAAGCATGTTTTTAAAAAAAATATATATATCTTTTGGAAGGAAGCTGAGGTTCGAGCACAGGGTCTGAAGCATGTGAGGGTTAAAGATCGTGCTCAAGGACCCAAAAGTGACCGCAGTGGGTTTGAATTCTTAATAACAAATTAAAATTCCTACGAGTCGGTTCACCTTCCTATGCTCTGGTAATGTACTTTCATTATTCTGAGACAACGTTGTTGGCTTTGTTTTCTTGGGCTGAGCAGGCTGAACAATTCCATCTTCATCTGAAGGGCATAGACTCACACACACACACACACACACACACACACACACACGTAGCCCTCTGAGAGCTAAGAGTTGAATTTGAGCAAGAGCCAATGGAGAATTGCAGTTGCACAATAAGGTGCCCAGTTAAGTTGTTTTCCTGGATCAGCAGAAGTGTGTGTGTGTGTGTGTGTGTGGCTTTGTGTGTTTGGAGTTGAATTAAAATCTGACTTATCACTGTTGTTGTTCTATTAAATACCACCTTAAGATATCATTCAATCTTCTTAATATAATTTGTGAAAATCATTCGCATATAAAACTGCCACCTGCCACACAGGTTTATGAACATGCAGGGACACATGTAAATAATGAGCTGCAGTGTGAGAGCTTTTGTTTGTTGCATACGCGTTCACCGGGCCTAGGTCAGTACTCGATAGAACCAGTTTTGGCTGTCGTTACAGCTTCTGGGATACGTATCGATCAGCCTTGCACATTTGGATCCTGATATTTTTTACTCGTTCTGTCAGATTGAATGGTAACCGTTCGTGAACATCAGTTGCCTGGCCACGGATTCCCAGTTCGTTGGCGATCTGAGCTTTAACTGAGAAATGTTTACACTTTCACATTTTTGGTTTTGAGCTGCAATGTAGCTCAAACAATATATTTGATGTTACACAAAATACACAAAACACCGTCTTGGAGATTCACAAAACACGTCTTGTGCCCGATGCTCCCTGGGATAGGCTCCAGGTTCCCCGTGACCCTGAAGTGGAGTAAGCGGTTGAAGATGGATGGATGCACAAAACAAAAGAAATACTTTTCCCCCCAGAT